TTTTACGGAGCCTTGAACATAATTGTCTACTACAATTTCAGCGGTAGTTTTGTTTTTAAAATTAATACTTTTGGCTGCTTCTTTCATTTTTAAAGAGCACAAAGTATCATAATATGATGTAGAATCGTGTTCGTGCGGTAAATCTTTCATACATCCAGTTTCTGTGGCGTTTACCATTGCACTACCTTGATACTCAACTTTAATTCTTTTACGACAGCCAGCAATTGCACATTTAAAAACGATTCTTTTCGAATCAGTTGGAATGTATTTATAACCATCCACAAATGGTAATAAACAATTTCTTGAAGAATTCAATACGGTGAAATGTGGAGGCAGTGGAGTATTCATATATAAAAACATATTGAGATGGTTATTATTTACACAACTTTAAAAGAAAGGTTGTTTATATTAATAATAACTTTAATATCATCTAAGAATAAATTGAGTCGTTAAAAATATCTATCTGGTAATAAGTTTTATTTTTAATTTTAAACAAGTGGTTAAAGTGGGTTTTTGTCAGTTTTGTGCTAAGTTGCTTTGTTGAACTTCTTTTTGATTGGAAATGGTAATTTTTGGAAATGCTATTGATTATATTTGCCTCTTGTTGACACACTAAAAGATCTTCTAAGCTTTTTGTTGCCAATTGTTTGATTCAAATTACATATAAATTATAATTCTATGATTCGGATTTTTATTTTTATAAATGGTTTGAAATAAAAATATCGTTTCAGTTAAATTTACAAAAAGTTGAACTTCTATTGAATTTTTTCAGGCGAATAGTAATCAGGCGAAAAATAATCGGGCGAGTTATCCGTTTCCCAAAAATATAATATATTTTTCAAATTTATACAAACACTTGTTGTTCTGTTTTCACACAAAGTTAACCAACTTTTAAATAAACACAAATTGTTGACAATTTATGAAGTGTTATCAAATGTTTTATTACACACAACACAACTTTCTTCATCTGTCGCACGATTTAAACATCTTACAACAAAAAAATGCAAAAAGTACCATTAAGCGAACATGTGTATTCTTTTTTTGATAACACACCCTAATATGTTTTTATCAACACATAATGTATATTACATATAGACAAGTTGCGTTGGCATAATTTTTATAACCACAAATCAGTCATTGAAGTTAAATAAGTTAATTAAAATATAGTTTTGGTTTAAGTATTATGTTTCAAACAATTTGGTTTATTTTTTCGAACAATAACAGTAAAGTTTTGTTGTAACTCTTTGTTGTACTGAAACTAAACACCAATTTATTATTGTTGTTTGTTTTGTTTTTTGTAATGATTATCAAATCTTGTTTTCTTTTTCACTTAATTTATTATTCAAATTGTAATAACAATTTAATATTTAGTTTAGTGTGAGGATTCAACAAAACAGTTCGCGATATTAAAATAATTTTTGAGTTTTGGGTTGTTCACTAATACATTGTAAAATAATATTCTTCGTTTTGAAGTGAATAAAACAATCTTTGGAATACCATATCCAAAGTCATATTTGTATGGCGTAAGTTCTTGATTTTTGAAAACAGACGTTCAACAGCAACCGATGTTGGACAAAGAGTCATACAAATCGGAAATATTTGAATGAGTCCATAATGTTGCATTGGATGAAGTAATTCAAACACGTCACACAGGCTAACACGAAAGTGATAATCGATCAAAACAGCCAATTTAGAATCATACTCAGATAGTGGTAAATATAATCCGGCGTTTTGAAGGAGAGTTTCTTTCTGTATATCAACAAGATCGTTTAATTGATTTTTAAGATCTTCGATTTCCTTTTCCAAATTCTTAAAGCACTCTGGTAATACATACTCTTCTTTTTTTAAAAGTGTATCTGGAATATAAAATATTTGAATAAGATTTTCTAATTCATTAAAATCTTTGGTTTTGTCTATTCCCATTTGATTGATACACACGTTTTCGAAGTCGAGATATGGACGAGATGAAATTGTATCCAAAGAAGTACCAATTTTGGTGAAACGTGCTTTAAAAAATGTTGCCAATTTCTTAACACCCATCAAAACAAAGTTTTTGTTTTTGTGTTGTTGAACATTGATAAACTTTTATAATCTTCGTTTTCAATTTCAGATATAATTTTGTGTAAATGTATTTTGAACATTTCAATTCTTTCTGTATAAAAAGGTAGAGTCGCTGAAACTTCTTGCATCCTTTCACAGAGAACATTAAGAACACCAATCAAATCTGCAATAAGATTTAATGTATTATATTCTTGTTGTACATTAAATCAAAAACCACTTCTCTGTTAAAGTCTTTTTCAGTTTTTTGTTGTATTTTATCCACTGCTTTTTGAAAGCGCCTTTTACATAAGCTTTTACACTTTTTTCTATTTTAGCGTCCTTGCAAAATTCGGTAATATCATCAAATTGAAGTAATACATCTTCAATATTATAGTAAGCATGACACCACCTTGTTGCACTATAATGTGATATTGATGGAACTTTGCGATTTTTGCCTTTTTGATATTTCTTATACGCGTTCAGTTGATCAGTTTGACAAAACCATTAAATAAAACTAATCGATTTGGTGAATTCAAGTTCACCACACAACGATTCACATACCAAAGAAGTACGGTGTGCAAAACACCAACAACCATACAACTCGCGCATTATTATATCATCACCACTCAATTTTATACCTTTTAAAAGACATTTGAACGATTCAATCAGTCCTATTCCACATTGTATTGATTTACATCCATCTCCTGATATATTAATCAATTTTGATAATTCTATTTTTAAATCTTTGAGACTTTTAAACAACCAATCTGCCAAATCTTTTCCATTTGTTTTTCCTTCATATTCTTGAACCATTAAAACACAAGTTTTAAATTTTTTACCACAACACATTCTAAGCATTACAGCAAATATATTTTCACATCCATTTGCAGTTGAATCTATTGATACTCCAAAACAACAACAAGCACGAAGATTGTCCAACAACGTTTCAAAATCTTTTTTATTCATTGATCTTATTTTGTACTTTTGATTACTGTATGATATTCCACATTTGTCAATTAATGAAAGATCTTTCTCATCGTACATTTTGAAAAAAAACTCTCATCACATCTTTTAATTGATTAATTTGTGTCTCTGAAAGTCTTGCATCATTAGTTATTGAACAAGCCACACATGAAGTTATACTTTTTTCATTGCCATTACTTTTCTTTCAAGTTTCTTTGATAAGTGTTGTTGGTTGTAATACGAAAATAAAAAGTCGACTAATTTACAATATTTTCTAAAAGACACTCTTTTATTTTCATAAACAAAACGGTGTGTAACTAATAACAAATCTTGATAATTCCAAAGAGTAATATGTGTGTTTTTAAAAGTCATGAATATTCCATTTTCGAACTTTTCAATATTATCATCTTCTTTTACAATTTTAAAGTCTTTTTGTTTTTGGTAATAATATCGAAGATGTTAAGTTTGTACTTATATTATCAACATCATCAATGTTTGTTCTTATTTCTGAATTTTCATCTGAAATACGGGAGCTTTTATCACTTTCTTCAATATAACGCCTTTTTATTTCCCCACTTTTCCGTTTTGAAACCACACAAATATCATCAATGGTATCGTTATCAGACGCTTCCATGCTTAAATCTTCACTTAGATGCGTGCTTATGGGTTGTTGTTCGGTAAACACTTGTTTATCACACTCTTGTGAACTGTTCTCAAATAAGAAACGATTAAGTGATCCACATCTATTTTCTTTGCGGTGAATTTCTTCTTCTTCGACTTGTTGATCAAGCTGATTCATAAGATCATCTGCAATTCTGATTTGTTGTGTGGGAACAATAAGTGATTTGACTTTTAATGCTTTCACCATTTTACTTACAAAAGAGTCAGGCATGACAATTTTGGGCATTTCAATGTTCAAAGAATCTAAAGATGGTAAGGTGGATACATTCGACGAACAAGATAAAACGACTTTTTGGTTGTTTCCATTACACTGATAATTTAATTTTCTTTATCTCGTTCTTTCTCGTAAACATTTTTGTATATAAAAAGATGCCATTTTGATATCGCTGTCTGAATTTTTGGACTTGTAGTAAAGAAATTTAAATATTGGATATCCAATTCTGTTTTACCATTTGTTTCGATGAAGTGTTGTAAATGTTTATAAACAACGGCTCTCTGTTCTTGAGAAAAAATTGGAAATATGTTAATATCTTTTTTTGTGATTATAGATCGTTTCTCTGTTATACCACTCTCCTTTTATGTTGTCGTATACAAAATATTTTTCTCCGTAATAAGCAAGAAAACACCCTCTTTCAAGCATTTTCACAGATACTACAAAATGAGGACTGGTCACTTCGTCCATTTTTTTGTTTTTGTTAGTTATTTCATTTTTGTGTAAATGATTGAAAACTCTTGTTTGTAAAAATAAACAATTTCAAAATAATAATAATTATGAAATTTGAAATAGTTTTCTTAAACATTTACATTTATAAATGATAATAAACAATTCAAATAGAAATTAACTTTAAAAAGGTAATGTTTTGAAAGATTAAAACGGATAAAAATAATTATTTTTATCTTTAAAGATGTTGTTTTAAAATGCATATTTACAATATAGATTAAAATTTAGTGTAATTTTGTTTTTTATCAAGTTTTATTTTAAAAATATTGGTAACAACCTTTAACTGTTGCAACATAAAATATTAAAATGTAAATTATTTGATTATTATGATAAATAAAAACTATTAAAACTTTTAAAACAATTTGTTAATGGCATTTTTAATGAGTCTCAAAATAGTGAAATTAGCTTTTTTCTGACATGTTTCAATCAATTTAAACAACAAGCATTTTTAACTTATTGTTAATAATTGATCATGTTTTCATTCATATTATGTACACTATTATAAAAATTGCTTATTATATTTTTGTAATTATTTTTTATATAATTAATAGTGTGTTTTTACACAATTTTAACAAAACAATTTATAAACAGTTAGAATAACAATAAACTATAATTTATAATACACATTATTGTTTAATATTAGGCTTCGAACTATTTTTACAAATTAAGCAACATTTTCACTGAAAAATTTTTCTCAATGTTTAATTTTAAATGTTTTTTTGTCGGAATTATTTTAACGAATTAATTATTTTCATGTTAATTTAATTAAGAAATTTTCAAATTTTAAATGATAATAATTAATTTTTTTAAATTAAATTATGTATGGCTAAAATGTATCTTATTTGTTTTTTAATATATGTGTTATTTAAAACAACGATTATTATTATTTTAAATATATACAAATTAAAATTATAATATAATTTAAATTTTTAATTTATTATATTATTATTATTAAGATTATTTTATTATTTATTCATATTAATTTAACTATATATTATTAAATAATAATATTTATATTGTTATTTAATAATTTAAATCATTTGTGTATTTTCTTTCAAAAAATAATGCTATATTATAGTATTATAATTTCATTTATTTAAATAATAAATATTAAATTATAATTATTATATGATATTTTAACAAAAAATATATTATTATTTTTAGTTTCTTATAGTTTTTGAAAAAAATTTAATGTGAATATAAAAAACTTTATCACAAATTCCATATTTTTTGTTATTTATTTTTTTGAAATTAGTTATTTTTGTACCTTTTTTCAACTTTTTATGTTTTTAATCCAAAATGATAAATTAAAATTAAACATTTTGTGATTAAATTTCGATTATTTTTA